TTATGATGATCGGATATGGTGATAGAATTCGAACTCATGAGGAAGTTTGTGTTTTGTTTAATGAAATTCATCCCAATCTTCCACCAATAAATCGATCCACGGTTAGCCGAACTGAAGCAAAGTTTCGAAATCATGGTCATGTTAAAGATATGCCCAGATCTGGCCGACCGACTGTAGATGAAGAAGTGCAGTTACAAGCCCTTTTGACCATTCATGAAAACCCGCAATCCAGTCTGAGAGTCGTAGCAGATAATTTAGGAATGAGTGAAAGTACATTGAGTAGACTTCTTCACAGAAACAAGTATCATCCCTACAAAGTCCACTTAGTACAAGAATTATGAGACGATGATTTCGACAGACGCACAGAATTTTGCGAAATGATGATGGAAGAATGTCAGGCAGATCCGGATTTTGTGAAACGCATAATTTTCTCCGACGAGGCGTCTTTTTATTTGAATGGCACCGTCAATAAACAGAATTGTCGGTACTGGTCAGATCGCAATCCACATTGGATGATGGAAGCACACACTCAGCATCCCCAAAAGGTCAATGTTTGGGCCGGAATTGTTGGTAATCGAATTTTGGGGCCGTATTTCTTTGAAGGAAATTTAGATGGTGCAAGATATTTGGAATTTCTTCAGTTCCATTTAGTTCCTTCCTTGAGTGTTCTATTTCCAAATGAAGAAGATCCAGATTTGCCCAATTAAACCATTTGGTTTCAGCAAGATGGCGCAGCACCGCACTATGCCAGCGCTGTTCGCCGCTATTCAGATGACGTGTTTCCTCATCGGTGGATTGGCAGAAAAGGACCTAAGGAATGGCCCGCCAGATCACCAGATTTAACACCGCCCGACTTTTTTCTTTGGGGTTATGTAAAAAGCAAAATATACGTCAATAAACCAAACAGTATTAACGATCTGAAGGAAGAATTCGGCAAGAAGTTCGAGCGATCCCGCCTGAAGTCATTGGGAATGTGCAGCAAGAACTTCCCGTCTGGCCCATTGTTTGACAGTAAATGGCCAACAATTTGAACATGGTGAACAACACCACTTGAACAACAGGTGTTTCTGGTGATTTGAATCAATTTTTAGTACGTTTATTTATTTGTAAATAAATTTAGTATTTGTAAATAATTTGGGTATTGTTGTTCTCCCTGTAACAATTAGAAGCAACTTGTGGTATATTTTTGGTATCAGCTCAGTTAAGGCAATCCGAAAATTGGAAAAAAGTGGGGTGTTCCATTTAAAAGGTCACCCTGTATATTAAATTATTATTTGAAAAAATAGTAAATTAAATTGAAAAATCGACCTGTTTTGGGAATTTTTAATAATTTCTTTTGTTTACCTAATATTGAATTTGTGCACGACTTTAGGGGGACACTGTATAATATTTTGTTGTTGACTATGAAATTTACTTTTGTTTTCAAAAGATCTATCAGCAAATCTTTTCGAACATTTATTATCTAATAATATGTTTTTTACGAACACTGTTCCATTTCTAAAGATTCTATCTTTCGATGAAATTAACTTTGCTCTACCATGAAGATTTTACTACACCTTTCTCCATATTTATGTGATAACTTAGAGTGGACTATAAATACCTATTAGTATTTGTTGTCTTTTTTCTATATACACTTTGGAAAAAATATTAAACATTTTTTTGGTTTAATGATGCCTGTAAAATCAATATAGGATAAGGGGGGAGGGGTCAATATGTTATATAATTTTTGTTTGAAAAGGTCTATCCAAATCTGTAATATGACATTATCTTTAACGTTTCATTAGCTTTATTGACAATTGCAATCGCTTAAGCTCTTCTAATTCTGTTACCATTGGTAATTTTTGTTAAAAGTGTAGGTGGGACGTATGACCGAACGGCATTGTACTAAATTTGGCGTCAAAATGATCATCAATAATTGATTTCAAACTGTTTTAAATCTAGTCTTTGAAGGACAATAGGGCCCTGTGAAATCGTTTTAGAACAAAATATTACTCTTGTTCTACTGATTGTTTTGAGAGAGGAGAGAGGAATTAGTCCTGAAAGTTTGTCCTACCGTCACTGCTACATATACACATACATTGTTGTTGTTTTGTTATTTTACAAGTGTATTAGTTCCTTTAAACAAATAAATTCACAAGGCAATAATAAATTAAAATCATAATTATAGTAAATGTTTGGCTACTCGAATTATAAACCTGTTTTAAATCAATTGTTAACTCTTTAAAAGTACACTTTTGCAGATGCTACAAAATTCTTTCCAACATGTTAGCTGTTCTGTGAAACGCCAATCACAGGAAGTGTAATTTACACGGACCGTTGAGCACCGGCAGCGCTCAGGTAGGGAGTTTCAGTACAGTACTTTCATCCGTTGACATACTTCCTTGCTACCACTTCCATACGTTTTTACGGCCTTTGTTCTTTTATAGCTCAAACACCAGGGACAAACAATTTAAAATTGCATCAAAAGGATGCTTAATTGACGTTAAAGCTCACCTTGATGGCATGACTGTCAATTTATCATTCCTTTGATTTTGCATATTTATTCATAATTCCGTTTTTAAAATTTGGGGATGGATATATGCAAATTAGCTGCTTGATGAATCTATAAATGAATTTCCTAATTTTTAGGGCTAAATTCAGAGACTTCCTTAAATCTAGACTAACCTTTGACTCATATTAAACTTATGCTTCACTCAACTGAGGGTGCCTTCATCTCTCTCAATTCTGGTATTCAGAAATGTCCATCCACAAATTACTAGATAAAAGCGAGCTACTGGCTACTCAAATATTACCAAAAATATGTCAACAGTGGAAACTTAATGTCACAGTATTTCTTTATTTCGAATTTGAATCTCACGTTGAAAATATACATAGATAAATTACATTGAAATAATAAATAATGAAAATCAAATGGTCTAATTCCAAGTAAAAACGATCGTCATACAAACCGTGATATCCCAAGTAATAATACTTAATCATATTTAGTTCATTTTCCCTACTATATACTTCACACATAGTAGAATGAGTAACAAGCAATCGTTTATCGTTTATGACATACGACATACGTAACAGAACTAATTTCTAAAAAATAATTATAATTTATTCACGTTCAGAATATTATTTATTTAATACCTGGACTTAATTATTTGTAAAATATATTGCTAGAATATTATGAAACCACAAAATTAATAAATTAGGAATATATGAGCACACGTCAGATATCACTAATATGTCACTAAACTAGCACTTATTTGTGAGGGCGATTTGAGTAAGATATAAGGGACTCATTGAATACGATTAGGGTGAGTTTAGTATGAGATAAGTGTGAGTGAAATCTACGAACTTGGGCCTTAGATCAAAATCAGAATATAGTCAGGGATCAAGACATACCTCTTTTATGTTTCTAACTAAACAAAGGCAAAATATACTAATCAAAATTTGAGTTTTAATGCTTAAAAATCAACAGATTTTGAACAACTTGTCAGACTAAAGGGAAATTCTTCGATTTTCAACAGTTGCAACTAGAAGTGTTATTATAACAGACATTTCGTCACATAGGATGTGACACAAATCAGTAATATGGATGTAATAGAGAGCCGCGCAATTTTCTGTAATTCACTTTTTATAGAGAAAGTCAAGTATGACAAGTGAAATGATTTCTTCTGTTTATGGAGCCACTTTCACACTGTTCCGCAAATTATGTGAAAACTAATTTATTTCTACTCATTATCGAACGTATCCCCATGCGGTGATACATGCGCACAATTGACGTTTCGATATGCTATTGAATAAGCAAGGTTATATCTTGTGTCATATAAACACAAAAATATAAATAAATTTTTACCAGAAAAAGAATGATAGTTATGAATGACGGCGATACTGTTTTTTAATAGGCATTTATAATCTTTTATTTGTAGATGCAAACAATGAGATAATTCATCAGTCGACAAATGTTCACACAGTTGTGCTTAGTCACATTAAGCCATCATTAAGAAAACAATAATCTGTTGGGCCAATCGAATCAAACAAGTGTGAGAGTTAACATCTAATGCAACTCAAATTAATAAATTTGATGTTGAAAAGTTTTAAATAAATAAGCATTGAAAGGCAATGAATAAATAGCATTCTATGAAGTATTTTGGGTATTATAGTCTGACTAGCAACTCAGAGGTATTTGATGTCCTACGACAACCTGTCCTCAGAAGATAGGTAATAAATTGTTTCATATGTACGCCCATGGACGTTCGGGTGTTTTCGGTAAATTCTCGTTTAGCTGCTAACTTCATGGGATTTATGACGAGGAAATCGCAAATTATTAAATTAAATTAATTAATTAATTAAAATTTTCACCGCAAAATTTCATAGTGAAATTGTACATAGGTATATCATAAGGAAATTGTATATAGATACAGCAAAGAGGAGATTCTATTTTATTACTAGTTTTATCTTTTTACTAGTTTTGACAACAATATCAACTATTGACAGTAAAGTCATGAAAAGATTACGTCTACAAAATTAAATCAGAATTAAATTACTTTAAGTGTATGATCTTCACATGCCAGTTATGATGAATCGGTTTATATTCATTCAAAGAAGGTCCCAAACACTTTGTAGATTGAGAAGTAAAAGCTGGTTTAATATGCGGCATTTAATTGCGAAATCTCGAAAACAATGCGTTTCAAGTGACTGTAAGAAGAATATGTTATTACGTAAAATGAAATCAACATTACGTTGTAATATAGAACATTCACTGAAGTAAACATGACCTCAAAAACGTTATGTCATAAAATGTCACGGGCAAAGACCTAACATGCTTTAAAACCCTCAAAAATTTGATTGTACTATTGCATCACGCTACTGATTTTTGGAACAAATGTAGCTAAAATTTAATTTTAACTATTTTTAGCACCTTGTATCAAAAAAGTAAGTCCAATTTTCATAGTACCTTATATTTTGATGTTCTATCAGTCTGAATAAATATAATAATTTAAATAACGTACTTTCTTCCCTGTCCTTCTGCTGCATTACCATGGGGCTCATCGTGAGGAGACTGACACACACTGCACCAGTACCATGACCAAACAGTGTAATGGAATTTGAATCTCCGCCAAAAGCTTCGATGTTATCCTTCACCCATACTAAGGCAGCTATCTGGTCCACGAGACCGAAGTTGCTGGTCGAAAGTTGGTCAGCCCCAGTCTTTAGGAAGCCTGAAACGAAATGATGGATTATTTTTACACATAATGAAACTTCGTAACTAATCTTTGACTGGATCAGAAAGAATAGTAATCACTTTTAATATATTCATCCTGATGTGCAATAAACATTGTTGGATTTATTTGAAGAAATTGTTGGGATATAAAATATTTCTTGATAGTATACATACAAAGTAGAAAATAAAAGCGAAACAAATAGCAACAGTGTAAATTCAAGGTTATTTATTAGTGAAATTATTTTAGTGGTATTAAAAGAAAAATGATCTTATCAACACAATGTTTAGTCAGAAGAACTAAAATAGGTGAGGATGAGAACAAATTGTGTAAAAATCACTCAGTTCGTTGTAAATATTACGCATTTCTGAATAGGGGGAACACAAAGTTGTGTATGAACACATAGGTACCGATACACAGTTTGGATTGCTGTTAGACAACAAATACATTTACTTAGTTGTAATTAAGAATTGATTTTAGTTACTGTCAAAATGTTGTTATACCAATATGACAGACATAGTTTCACCTCTAAAATGTGCAAATCATTATACAGTGCGTTCATGATGAAAGGGACAAATTCGTTTAAAATTCAAGTAATTATTTTGTAAAAAAACACTCAGACACGTCGATTAGTAATTTTAGTTGCGGATTTTTTGACATAAGAAAATTGTATACAGGGTGTCTCAAGAAGAACATACGAAGTCATCATTGATTTTATTTAATGGAACGCCCTGTATATTATGCCATTTTTGAATTGTACGGTAAATTTGGAACACTATGTATAACATACCATCTCCGAAATCAGCGATTTTCGTAACAATGATATTTGAAAATTGATATTTTGAAATGCACAAAATTAATGTTTAAAATGTTTAAATTGAACAACCTTGAAGATTTTTTTAAAAGCCAAGAAAAATAATCTGGTACGCCAAATTTTATCTTAAACAAAACAATTTTCTTCGTACTAATCGTTTTTCATTCCTTGACCCCTAGACCATTTTGATGTGACAATAAAAACCAAACTATCACGGGCATTAAGTTTGTCAGTGTCATATTGTCAGTTTTACGTTTCATTTTAAAAATGCATTTATCTGAGAAAGAACGTATTGAAGTACTTATGATGATTCTCAACAAGAAGTGTGTAATTTATCTAATGTAATGCACCCTGATCGACCTCCAATTACTAGATCTACTGTCAGCAAAATTGAATTGAAATTTGCTGAGCACGGAAGACTAAAGGAAGACCGGCAGAAATATCAGAAGATTCTAAACTAGACGTTTTATTAGAAACTGTAAATAATCCCCATGTAGTTAGGACAATCTCCAGGTATTGTAATTTGTAATCGGGGTCTGTGTCACAAATACTCCGAAAAAAATAAATATCATCCTTACAAGGATCAATTGCTACTTTAACTATTAGAAGACGATTTTGACCGAAGAACGCAGTTTTGTGAGCAGATAATTGAGATGGATAATACCAACACGATGGGGCACCTCCTCATTTTGCAAATGCAGTTCTACAATTTTTTGACTTAACTTTCCCTAATAAATGGATTGGACGCAGAGGTCCTATTGAGTGCCCGCCAAGGTCACCGGATTTAACCCTTTATTTCTTCTTATGGAGTTATTTGAAATCTAAAGTTTATGTGGAAATAAAGGAAATAATGGAAATAAGATTTATTCCAGCAGAGGTAATTACTTATTCCAACAGAGGTAATTAAAAACGTTCAACGGGAAACAATCCTTCGACTACAAAAATGTATTGAAATAAATGGACAAAACATTGAACATTTATTATAAAGCAATTGTTATTTAAATAATGTTTTATGATTAAACATTATTTTTTTCCATTTATCACATTTCAAACGTTATTATTACGAAAACCGCTGATTTTAGAGATACAAAATTTTCCGTACAACTCAGAAATGGCATAATATACAGGGTTGTTTGGGATTTATTAATGAATTGAATAATATTCCCAAAGGAACGATAAATTAATGCGGAAAATGAATGTTAAATTAAACGAGTGCGAGTGGCCGGCCGGCTTCTTCCCAGATAGTTCACAATAATGCACCAGAATTAACTTTCTGCACCACTTAAAGGAAAATTCAGTTTTTTGGAGCGTAGTTTCGCGAGATGTTTTTTGTATCCAAAGTACCTACACGTCTCTCACTTTCAATTCCAAAAAAAGCGTGATATTTTGCCACACAAAAACCCACAATGATAAGGAACAACAACAACAAAAATAAAATATGTGTACATTTCTTCCTACTCTATAGGCAGCCCATAATACTTAAAATACAGTAAAATTAACTTAAATTCTAAACTAATCGACAGACTAATCGACGAGTCCGAGGGTTTTCCCACAAAATAATTACCAGAATTTTAAACGAATTTGTTTCTTTCATTATAAACGCGCTGTATATGGCATACAAAAAAAAATGGATTTGCACTCGGACCAAACCTACTGATGTATTTTGGCGTGTTGAACTCGAATTCGAAGTCGAAATTACTCAATCACCTGCTAATTTTGAAGGTTTGGTCCGAGTGGAAAGAAATTTTTGTTTGTGTGGCACATATAGGAATTTGCACAATTTAGAGGTGATTTTCACAAAATTGGTGGGTGATGGAGCAATTTCGATTTCGGATTCAAGTCCAGCACACCAAAATGCATAGAAACCAGTAGGTTTAGTCCGACTGCGAGGCCATTTTTTTGTGTGCCTGTGTTATAATTAGAAGCACATTTAAAATGTCAGTTATACAAAATCTTATTTAGTCAATTTAATGTGATTTCGCTGTTATAGTTGGTATTAGATAAAAATTTATATCAGAAGCAGCGAGTAATTATGGAATATTTTTAACGATTAGTTTTTCATAAATAGGCAAACTTTATGTTTAGGTAAATAATTGATATCGAGAGATTAAAGCATTACCTTGATTTTCTCTTTCAACTTCAAAGAGCAAAACTCGAATAGTTTCGTAGTTACCAGCAACGCCCATTTATATGCTAAATTAGAAATACTTCGAGAAGAAAGTTTAGTTCTAAATGCAACCACACGTCAGGCACTTCGTGCGATGTGGAGCCCTCAATAAATTAGCCCAGCTAAGTGATCTTTCAACTAATTTATGTAGGAAGCAGTTAGATTAGCAATTTGTGCATGAGACGTTGCTGAAATGACATTATAGCACGTGTTCTTTGGCAAAGCATAACTTAATTTACATTCTTTATATAAAAGCAATTGTTTTAATTCCTAATTATTTAGTGTATTATTTGTCAGTGCTGCAAAGAGATGCATACTTAAATATTTTTTTTTAAGGGAAAGATCTCATAATGTCAATATTTATACATTTTGAAATGCTTGAAAACCTAATTCATTATTATTTGTTAATTTGTTTTTAAATAATTTATTAGTTATAAACGTGAATAATTTAGACACATGTTTGTTTCAATCTTGTCTCCTATATTTATTTAAAAATACTTACGTACATTGGATATAAGTCGGCAAGAAAATATCGTAAATTCAGTATTTTATAAAAACGAATATTGCAAATGAAAAATTGTCAACGAAATTTGGTATTTTTACGTTATAAATGCAATAGGTAGAATTAATTTCCGTCTTTTACTACTGCTATGCGATTTAATTTAATGAATGATCAACCCAAACCTCAGTATTCATCTATGTCAAATATCTTATTAGTTACTTACGTACATGTGGCAGTATTAATAAATTTTTTATACGACTGCCTTGCAAAAGGGGGTTTTGCGCACGGAAAACACGCTCTGAAAACGGTATTTTGCACACGGTTATGTCATCTTTGCACACGCGTCTCCAGATTGTAATTTTTGTTTGATGTTGTCACCCAAATTATGCAATGTTTCAAGTTGGCTGAGTTTCATAGCAAGATTAGATACTTCAAAAATTGTTGAATTCCCGAAGTTTGGGTGTGAATATATGTGATTCTAAAGAGATTTTACAGAAAGCAAGCGAAATATGTTCGGAACTGCTGCCCACAAAATCTAGAAGCAGGTATGAAGCTGAGTTAAGCCGATTTATGGACTGGCGACTAGCCAAAAATGTCCAAACTT